GAAGGTGCAGCCACCTGGTGATAACTACGAGAACTGACTTTACAGTGGCCAGGCATGTAAATGCTACAACTGCACAACTGGGCATAAAACTATGGAAATGTCCTTAAATAATACCACGGCTAACTCAGGACATGACTTCTCTACTCGACAGGGCCTAAACAGTGCCACTAACGAACGCTAAAGAAAACGCTGAATAATTTGTTATCAAGCTAGACACCAGAAGGGCACATCGCCAAGTTTCTGACAGATTGGACAACGAAGTCCTTATACAGTAATTAGCCGAGGGCCTAATCAGCTTAAACCCCTCAAAACATCTTCACCACAATGTGTTCTATACATATGCTTACCTCTAGTACAGGGACAAACTCTCTAAGTAACAAATTCTACACTTACAAGTAGAAACTAAAAATGGTCCCGCGTGGTTTCAACAACAACAATGGCGGCAAAATCTACATTACCTAACAGCAGGTGGCGGGGCAGCACAGACCTACCGGGTGTGCCTAAATACGGTTCTACTCCCGTTACACCGGCTCCCTAATTGTCAATCGACAATGACAATTACCACCTACATGTATAACAACATTATTAATCAACACAACTCCAACTTGTACTGTTTTCAACTCAACGAAAACAGAACATGAAAACCCAAGTGTCCTAGAACTTGAAACAGAGTATAGTCCTTCTCCACAGTAGATAACTCTAGTCTCTGATCCTGGGCTCCTCCAAGTGATGGAAGACGAACGGACTGCCCATACTGTCTCTAGCCGATTAGTCCGCCTCCAGGATTACACACAACTTGGTAATCGGGCGCTCATATGTGGCATTGCCAACTCGTACTCTAACAACACGCACTAGTCCCTTGCTGCCCTCGACAACCTCGGTAACACGACCCAAAGGCCATCGGTTCCTTGGCATGCTACTGTCCGCTACTAACACAACGTCGCCAACCCTCACATTACGTTCCTCCTCTTGCCATTTCTGACGTTCCTGCAGTTGCTGCAAGTATGCTGTGCTCCATCGACGCCAGAACATGTTAGCCAGGTGTTGTACCTGACGCCACCTTCGTTTTACGTAGTTGTTCTCCTTAACGAAAAGACCGAGTGGTAGTGATTGGCCGGACGACAGCTTTAGCAAGTGGTTCGGAGTTAAGGCGGGAGGATCCACTGCGTCAACGGAAACCCGCGTGATAGGTCTACCATTCAGGATCGACTCGACCTCGCAGAAGAGGGCGTGTAGCCCCTCGTCAGTTAGACGGATCACCTGCTCCTTCATAACGCCATAAAGGACCTGCCGAATAGAGCGGATCATACGCTCCCATGCGCCACCGTGATGTGAAGCAGTGGGACAGTTGAATTCCCACTCGATTCCCTGCTGTAGTAACGTTGAACCAATCTTGGATGTGTTCCACCTTTCGATCTCCTCTTGCATCTCCCTGCAAGAGCCAACCAGGTTCGAACCGTTGTCCGATCTCAACTTCCGGACTGCTCTCCTAGCAGCAAAACGTCGTACTGCGTTAACACACGAATCCGTTGTGAGGCTTTCCGCTACCTCTATGTGAACAGCACGGCTTGAAAAACAAGTGAAGATAACTCCATAGCGCTTGTGGACACTTCTCCCTATCTTAACGCTAAAGGGTCCGAAGTAGTCTACTCCAGATTGATGAAACGGCGGCTTGTCCATCTCAAGACGCTGCTTGGGCAGATCTGCCATCTTATGGACTTGCATTGCAGCGCGATAACGACGACATATCATGCACTTGTGAATGATACTCCTGATCAGTAGACCAGCTCGGGGTATCCAATATTTTTGTCTCAATCGGTTGAGTGTACTGTTAGAACCAAGGTGACAAACACTTCGATGGGCATAATAATCGATGGCTGCAAATGTCTCAGGCCGCAGGCTCCTTGGTACCGAGATGTGCTCCAGCTGCTGGATCTCGGTGAGCCAGCGATACCACTGCTTCTTTTCCTCCTCGTCGATCTCTTCATCCCAGGGCAGCCCGTTCTTACAGAGTTCCTGGAGCAGCACTCTGGCAGGTAAGATGAACGGTCCGGCCAGCCCAAGTGGGTCGAAGACGCTGCTTATCACCGAGAGAATTCCCCGCCTAGTGGCGTCTTTCTCACGTATGCATAACTTGAAGCCGAAGGTGTCTCCCACCGTGTCCCAGTAGATTCCCAAGGCACGTTCAGCCTGTTGAGTACTATGATCACTGCCGATGACCACAGGCTTTGGGCTAGCTCTTTCCGATGGTGGAATCGAATCTGTGACGAATTTACTGTTGGTGACCCACTTGTGTAGCCGGAAGCCTCCATGACTGCAGACAGATGTGATGTCCCTTCTCAGCTCCACTGCCGCCGTTTCCTCCTCCATGGATTTCAGCAGATCATCCACATAGAAGCTGTTAAGGATGGTGTCGATGACAGTCTTCGGAAAGTCGTCCTTACTATCTAGAGCACACTGCCGTAAGGCGGTAGCTGCTATGGCCGGGCTTGATACCGCTCCGAACGGATGCGTCTTCATCCTGTAGACGCAGGGCTCCCTGGAGAGCTCGCCGTCTGCAAACCAGAAGAACCGCAGACAGTCTCTATGCCGCTCACTGACTCCTACTTGATTGAACATTCCTTCTATGTCTCCCATTATGCCGACTGGCAGTTGACGGAAACGCAACAACACTGCTACAATGCTGTTGGTCAGGATACCACTCGGTCCTGGAATCAGTGTGTCATTCAAGGATAGCCCCATCACCTTGGCGGAACAGTCAAAAACCACACGGGTTTTCCCAGGCTTGTTCGGGTTGTATATACCGTGATAAGGGATATACCATTTTGTCCCCTCGCGTCCGGGGTCGTGGGGTTCGGCCTGAACCCTTTCGGCATAACCCTTCTCAATGAGGTTACTCATGGTTCCTGCTCAGTGATAACGTGCGATTCAAGGCTTGGCCGCGATTGTCAGGTAGCCTGACCTCTTTGCTGCGGAAAGGGCGATCCAAGTGGTAGTGACCATCTTCATGTTCCATCGACTGCTCCGCTATCACCTTGAACTGTTTATCCTCCACTGAAGATTCTCTCTTGGAATCGACACCACGTTCAGGGAAGTCCATGTCGATCGCGTTTCTGACGAGACGTTCCAATTTTCTGTTCTGCTCAAGCGCCTCCACCGCCATCACCTCCACCCTAGCGGTGGTGGCCGACTGTCCTTGTACACAGTCTTGGTCTCTTATCACGTTCCACAGGATCCAGCCTAATACAGTCTTGGCTGCTTAAGGACTACCACGAGGCCCTGTCCTGATTAGCTGCGGGGTGTAAGCGTCCGGCACGTTGTTCCCTATCAGCAGACCGATATCTGCATCTAACGTGGGTAACGTGATCCCTTGTAGATGGTCCCATCTCTCAATATCGTGCTGGGTTGAAATGTGTCGCTGTGTCGCCGGAATCCTCTTCTTGGTATAAAGTGGCGGCAAGCGAACATGGTCCCTGCCATCCAAGTCACTGATCTCAAGACCGCTAATCCGGTGAGTTGTCATGCTGTGTGGCGTCCCCATGGTGTCGAGGATAATTGTCCTTTTTTGTCCTGTCACGCCCCACTGCTTTGCGAGCTTGTCGGTGCAGAAACTGACATTACTGCCAGTGTCGAGAAAAGCATATGTCCCCACAGTGGTGTTGTTCCGAGTTCGGACCAAGACTGGTACAATGGCCATTGTACACTCTCCGGCGTCTCCGGCTCCCATAGAACACAGTTGGCTGTGCCGGTAGCCCAGGTATTGCTAGGTTTACCTTGTGGCTGCAATGGTGGCCTTACTCGACGCTCGTCATGTAATAAAGTGGGATGCTTGTCTCCGCACCTCTTACAGGCCTCTCGTCCTCTACATTCTCGTTTTCTGTGTCCCAGCTTCAAACAGCCGAAACAGAGTCTATTTGCCTTGACGAACTCTGATCTCTCGTTAGCTGGCTTAGCTATAACGTTCTCGCACTGATTCATGGCATGGTTAGCGTTCTTGCAGAATACGCATGGAGCTTCAAAGGCGAATTTCTTTGCTCTCCCCCAGTTGGTCTCTGTCGACCCCTGAGTGGGGCGGTCAGAACCACCATTCTCGGTGCTGCTAGCCAGGCTACGCATGCCGCCCTTGGCCTTACTATAAAACTGTTTTCCACCGGCGATCTTTCCGTTGTCGGCAGACAGAACGTCCCTCCCGTATAGAGGGTCCGTGGCCTTTTTAGCTTCCCCACGGACGAAGTCCACCAAGTGCTTAAACCGAACAAGGCGCTCGGAGTCTCTTGTCCTCTGAACGATGGTCCTCCACCTATCGTGCAGATAGAAGGGGAGCTTCTTGACAAGCTGCCGTATATGGTCCGCATACTCCAGCACTTGGCCGGCTTGAACACTACCCACCGCGTGTTGACACTCCATCAAAAACACTGCAAAGTCATCCAAGGCCTTAGCGTTGTCCGGCTTTATGACTGGCCAGTCCAACGCCCTCTTTATGTAGGCTGCTGCAATGACTTCCGGGTCGCCATATCTATTCTTCAATTTGTCCATGGCGGCTTTATAACCTACCGTACTCTCTAGGTGTGAGTACCCTTTCACTATCTTGTGAGCGTCCGCAGTGGTGTACTGTTCCAAGTAGCTAAGTCTCTCATCGTCAGAGTCTGTGTACGCAACTATTCTCGTCTTGAACTGACGAAGGAAACGTGGATATTCCATCGGGTCTCCTCCGAACTTCTGGAGTTCTATCTGTGGTTTCCTAAGTTCCTTGGTGATGGAACCCAGGTCCGGTGCTGGGACGTATGGCTGAGCGTCAGGAGAGTCTGGTGAGGCTGGACTGCAGCTGGTGCTGTCTGAACCTGTATTTGAGTTATGGCGTGTTGACCACTGTTGGCCACAAAGTGAGCGGTCCTAGCTGCGGCCGTCTCCTCGAGGGTAGGCATAACATTAACGTTGTTGCTAAGGTGGTCGGGTTCAAAGTCACCACGCTCGTTCATTTCCATCTCCTCTATAACTCTCACCCTAGCGTCACTGACATTTGTCCTTATCCTGAGTTTCTCCTCCTTAAGTCTGAGCGCCAACTTGGCCTGCTCAAGTTTTGCCTGTTCCTGAAGGGCTGCTGCTCGGGCCTTGAGCTCTGCCCGTCGCTGATCTTCCTTCATCCTGGCCATGGATAGGTTACTACCAGCCGATGAAGTCCTGGATGAATGCTTAGATATAGACACGCGAGAACGTCTATCCTCCTCTGTGTGTAGAACCACTGTATCGTGTAGCCCGAACCACTGTTTAGCCTCTTGCTTACAGGCCCTATAATATAGGTTTCTCTCCTTGTGGTGATGGTCGTCATCCAGCCGTCGCTCATCGACAGTGAGCAACTTCTGGTATTCTTGGTGAGCGACCAGGAGCCTCTCATAAGCCTGGAGTCATGCCCCATACAGTTCGCGCATGCGTAGGATCTCGACTGCGGGGTCAGTCTGTCCCTGCATTAGCTCGCGTACTCTAGTGCACAGCCTTTCTAGTGCTGTGCTGCAGGTATTGCGATTGGCCAACTTCACTTCCTTGAAGTATTGCCCCTTTTTCTGTTAACACCTGCTTCCGTTTACCGTCGGGCTCTGGATTCCCGCCTACGGCACCGGGCATCTTTACCTCGGTGGTGGGCTGTCTGACTTCCGTATCATCGGTCCCCATGGGGGTGTGGAACCTCAGCCGGGTTCAGCCCGTTACCGTCATCGAGTTCTGACATCTTTCCGGTTTTGGTGTCAATGTTTTACCCTTTTTTTTTTTTTTTTTTTTTTTTTTAGCAAGAGTCCTTAAGTTCTTACGTCTTGACTTGCTGAACGTCGAGAGATGTTCAACCTTAGAGTTTACTGTTACGACAACCGTCGAGAAAGACTTGGGAAGGCGGTCAAGTCCAGTCAAACGATAGTTTTATTTTAGATCACATGATCACCTCATCTTTACATCTATAGTTCACTTCTCTTTGGTCATGTCACGTAAACTAGAAATACAAACGTATAAACCGAAAATTACTAACAGGTAATCAGTTTACCATCACAAGAAACCATACAGAAACAGTAAAAATGCCAGAAGGTGCAGCCACCTGGTGATAACTACGAGAACTGACTTTACAGTGGCCAGGCATGTAAATGCTACAACTGCACAACTGGGCATAAAACTATGG